AATCTCGGTTACTGAAATTGAAAATGTAATTAAGTCCTTACCCACCAAGAAGAGCCCAGGCCCAGATGGATTCACTGCAGAATTCTACAAGAAATACAAAGAAGACCTAATGCCGACACTCCTCAAACTATTCAATGAAATTGAAAGGGAAGCAATCCTGCCTAAGTCATTCCTGGAAGCAAATATCACTCTAGTACCAAAACCTGAGTAAGACCCAACTAAAAAAGAGAACTATAGACCGATCTCCCTAATGAACACAGATGCAAAAATCCTCAATAAAATATTGGCAAATAGGATCCAGCAAATCATCAAGAAGATTATACACCATGACCAAGTGGGATTCATCCCAGGAATGCAAGGATGGTTCAATATACGCAAATCAATAAATGTAATTCACCATAACAATAAAGCCAAAAATAAGAATCACATGATCATTTCTATAGATGCAGAAAAAGCCTTCGATAAGGTCCAACATTTATTCATGATAAAAACTCTACAGAAAATTGGAATAGATGGTCTTTACCTCAATATAATAAAGGCCATTTATGACAAACCAACAGCCAGCATCATACTAAATGGCCAAAAATTGAAAGCCTTTACTTTAAAATCAGGCACAAGACAAGGATGTCCTTTATCACCACTCCTATTTAATATAGTACTGGAAGTACTAGCCAGAGCAATTAGGCAAGAAAGAGAAATAAAAGGGGTAAAGATAGGAAAAGAAGAAGTTAAGTTGTCATTGTTTGCAGATGACATGATACTCTACATAGAAGACCCCCTAAGCTCCATTGAAAGACTCTTAGATACAATAAATAAATTCAGGAATGTGGCTGGATACAAAATCAATACTCAGAAATCAATAGCATTCCTATACACAAACAACAAAACCACAGAGAGGGAAATAAGGGAAACTGGACTATTCACATTAGCAAGCAAAAAAATGAAATATTTAGGAATTACTCTTACGAAAGAACTGAAAGACTTATATAGTGAAAACTATATTACACTGAAAAAGGAAATTGAAGATGATCTCAGAAAATGGAAAGACATCCCTTGCTCATGGATAGGAAGAACAAACATTGTGAAGATGGCCATTCTCCCAAAACTCTTATACAGATTCAATGCAATCCCAATAGAAATACCATCAACATACCTTATAGATCTAGAGAAATCACTCCTAAATTTCATCTGGAACCAGAAGAGACCTAGAATCGCAAAAGCAATTCTAAGCAGCAAAGACAAAGCAGGAGGCATCACAATCCCTGACTTGAAATTATACTACAAAGCAACAGTAGTAAAATCAACATGGTATTGGAATCAAAACAGAGCTGAAGATCAATGGAATAGATTAGAAGATACAACCACAACTACAAACACACTCAACCACCTTATCTTCGATAAAGGAGCCAAGCAGGTTCACTGGAAGAACGACAGTCTCTTTAATAAGTGGTGCTGGAAAAACTGGCTCTCCATTTGCCAAAAACTAAAGCTAGACCCATGTCTATCACCATGTACTAAATTAAAATCTAAATGGGTCAAAGATCTGAATATTAAAACAGAAACGCTAAATCTATTGGAAGACAAATTGGGTAGAAACCTTGGAGACATAGGAGTAGGTAGAGAATTCATGAATAGGACTCAAACTGCACGGGAAATACTTCCCAGAATCAATAACTGGGACCACTTCTTATTAAAAAGTTTTTGCATGTCAAAAGAAATCTCCAGCATAGTGAAAAGAAAACCCACAAACTGGGAAAAGATTTTAGTGAACTCTCTCTCAGACAAGGGACTCTTGTCTAAAACATATAAAGAATTAAAAAAACTCAGACCTTCAAAATTCAAAGATCCAATCCAAAAATGGGCATCTGAGATGAATACGCAATTCTCAGATGAAGAAATGCAAATGGCAAATAAATACATGAAAAAATGCTCATCATCATTGGTCATTAGAGAAATGCAAATTAAAACCACACTGAGATACCATCTCACTCCTGAAAGAATGGCCAGGATCAAGAAAACCAACAACAACAAATGCTGGAGAGGCTGTGGGGAAAAAGGAACTCTCCTGCACTGTTGGTGGGAGTGTAGACTGGTACAGCCTTTGTGGAGATCTGTCTGGAGGTTTCTCAAAAAGTTGGGATTGGAAATCCCATTTATTCCAGCTATTCCACTTCTAGGCATATTCCCAGAAGAACTGAAAGCATCATACCACAGGGATATATGTGCACCTATGTTTATAGCAGCACAATTTGTAATCGCCAGATCTTGGAAACAACCCAAGTGTCCATCAACTGAGGAATGGATAAAAAAGTTGTGGTATTTCTATACAATGGAGTATTATTCAGCTATAAAGAAGGATCGCATTGAGATATTTATCAATAAATGGGCGCAGCTTGAGACCATACTCATAAGTGAAATAAATCAATCTCGCATGTATGAATACCGAATAGTTTCCCTAATGTAAGTAATGATTCAAATATATAAAAATATGAGATAATCATGATTCCCCATTATGTGGCCTGGAAGCCTTATAAAATTTTCACTTATTAATTAGAAAGGCTTTACTCTGGGCTTTTTGATATGGAAATATTTGAAGCTATAGTATATGAAGTTTTATCCAAATATTTTAAGGAAAAAGACAGACACTATGGTAACTACTATTCTTTAAAAAAAATTATTTAGCTATTTCTTATGTTTATTTTAATTAAGGGAAAAACTTAAAAAATTAGGATATATAGTAGTAACTCTTTTTGATCTCCTATTAACTTGTTTTGAAGTCCTGTAATACTCCCAAGATCTTGTTTTGACTGATTAGACTCTGTTCCATTCTGTGCGATAGTAGCAAGTTTGAAGGTATAGGCAACTAATTTGAAGGCAATAAGATTCACAAAGATGCCCATTCTGGTTTGACTATTGTCTCCTTTGGAAGTCCTGTAATGTTCACAATGTCTAAGTTTTATTGGTCTTGTTCTCCACTGTTTTGTCCGGCTTTATAATATCTAATGAGATGGACAATTCCTTTTAAGGAAACAAGAGACAATGTTGATAACCATTGTTGATGACCTTGTACTCTGTTCTACATCATGTGCTATGTCTATCCTTGGTTTGGACTTACAGCTTTGTTTTGCCATATTTGACTTTATTCTCTCCCCCCCCCAAGAGAGTAATGAGAACTGAGGAGTAATAAAATCCAAAATGTATAAATTTTGTTATAAAAAAGAGAGGGAGGGGAAAAAAAAGAGCTCTAACGGATATAACAACAAGTGTGTTTAGGGATGTTAAATAGCTGACTATATTAATGTTTTTGGATCATTGAACACAGCTGTTTGCAGTCTCTCCGTTTGAATGTCTACTTTGTATTCTTTGATACTGTGATTTGAGCAACTATTTCCAAGATGATATTATGTAATCTATTAACAGGTGATTTCTTACTGTTATGTTTTTTTTTTGTAGTTATGTATTATGTGTAACCTTACACTGCTTTGTTTTGTTTTGTGTTTTTCTCTTTTTCCTCTTAAATTAAAAAAAAAAAAAAGAAAACACAGATTTTACTAAATGTGTGTTGTATTCACAAGTGGAAAAAATCATAAATGAATCATCACACACGGGACCATCTGTATATTTTAAAACCATAAGAAGATAAGAAGAAAATTAGTTAAACAGACAAGATCAGTATTACTGATTATTTTCCTTGATAGAGATAGAGCTCAGAACATGCTAACCTAAAATGTAGCCCCTTAGAATACTGTATATTTTAATCTGAAGGAATTTGGGAAAAAGGCAGAAACAGCAGGCCACTCCAATCTTCTCCAGACCCTTTGTCCCAAAAGTAGATCATAAGACTTTGTACAAGAAGTGCCCTTTGTATGTAGAAGAAACAGGCATCCTCAACTTGAAAGGCACACACCAAGAATCTGAACAAAAACACTTTGCTAGACTTCCTCTAATTTATTGTCAAGAGGTCGGTCATTGTCTTTGTCCTACCCTGTCTCTATGAATGTCCACTATTCATCAAACCTGTTATCATAAAACAACTCAAGAATTACTGTCTTTGAGCCTTTATTATGATACCTTCCCTGTGAATACATTTACTGCTTTTCTCTTGTTAATCAAAAAAAAACATACATTAAATAAATTTAATGTTTTTCTCTTGTTAATCTGTCATTCTTCATAGGGCCTCAGCCATGAACCTAGAAAGAGTAAAAGGAAAAATATTTTTCCTCCTCTATAGCCTAAGGCTCATAATTGGCTTGGCATGAAACAACTGTATCTCGTGCGCTTCACTTTGGTCCTGGCCCTGTTGCAAAGCTTAAAATATTAGCTTCTTTCAGAAAAGTTTAGGAAGAGAGATAAAAAAAAACCATATATGCTTCCTTGGCTTTGTTTTTCAAACTTGAGCACTAAGTGGTAGCATCATAAAATAAACTTCTGTTTGGTTCTATCTCAAAACCTCTATCCTTGTATGGAATTTCTCATTTATAATGTGTATTGTTTTCCTTAAATTATTGATTTGTTTTTCTATAGCCTCTTGGAATTTGTTGGGAGCCGCGTCTGTAATAGCTCGCCTTGCGCGGCGGACGTGCGGCCTGTGGTAAAGAGCAAAGCCTGAGGTAGATTACCCCTCCCATCGAATATGTTAGTTTCCTGCTTACCGCGTAAACAACCCGCTCAACAATATAGTCTGCCTGGCAACTGATGATGTTAGCCAATCAGCTTGCCTTGCTTACTTTAACATGATTGGACACTGTACCCGTATATATACCGGTGCCACCCCTGGGCGGAAGTAGAAGCCAGGTAGAAGCCCGGAAGTAGAAGCCCAAAAGGAGCCGCGGAGAGCGGACCGGTAGAGGCTTTGGGGCAGACTGAAGCACAAAAGGAGCCGCGGGGAGCGGACCAGAGGAGGCTTCAGCTGGGAGAACCCAGGGCAGGCTGTACGGAGAAGGAAAATAAAAAGAAAAGGTTGTCCACTACCAGACTTTGTCGTGTGTCCTTCCTGCCAGCCGGGAGCGGACATCGACATTTGGTGGCCCGTACGGGGACTGATCACCCCCGAGACGTGAAAGTGGACAACGCTCCAGTACAGAGCTGCGAGACAGGTGAGTTGGGGATAAGCCTGGGCTCTGGGTGGCGCGCACCTACAGGGCTTTTAGACTCCCCTCAGGCTCACGCGTAAGTGGCGGATTCCTTGGGCCTCACGTGGTGAGTAACATATTAAAAAATGGGAAACATGCTAGGTAGCAACACTAAGAGCGAGGGTGGTTGTGGAGAAAGCTCTCAAGAGCTTACAAAAGTACGCAGGGTATCTGAGCAGGCCCAGTCAGGGAGCTCCCGAGAGGGGTCCGTCAAGGGGAACAAGGATGCTAAGGAGGAGGACGGGGCTCTAGCCTCGGAGTCGTCTGACTCCGAGGACGAGGGAAAGTTGAATGGCAAGGAGGCCAAAGAGACCAGCTGTCAGGAGCCTAAGTCGCTCAATAAGGAGTCGCAGGGTTCTTTTCCAGCGTCGCGCCGCGAATTGCGCTCTGCTCAACCTGGTCTGCGGAGGAGTAGAGAGCTCCTGAGCGCTCCCCGGTGCGAGAGGGAGGCGATCCCTCGCCACGAGGCGGCCGCCTGGGAGCTCTCTCCCCTTTCGCCAGAACAGGAAGTGATGCACGGGCCCCCATTTTCCGCCCAATCACGGCCGCCGTCTTATGCTCCGCCGCCGGCGGGTCAGTATTTTTACAGGCGGCTTTGGCAGGAGGGACGCTTGTCTCATGAGGTACATCCACCTGGGATAGATAGTGGCCCCTACGAGATATTTCCTGTACAAGTAGCTATGGGCCAGGGACGCAATGCATGGGAGCCTTTTGAGATAAAGCAGATTAGAGAACTTAAAAATACAGTTACAACCTTTGGGCCGACTGCGCCTTACACCATTGCCATGCTGGAGAATCTGTCTTCTGGGCCCCTCACCCCCGCGGACTGGATTCAGCTGGCAAAGGCGTGTCTGCCCTCGGGCAGTTACCTGGATTGGCGAGCCTGGTACGCAGAGTTCTCTGCAGAGCAGGCTGAGAGAAACGCCAATCGGGGAAACCGGGGGTGGAACAAGGAAATGCTTATGGGAGAAGGTCGGCACGCTGATGATCAGACCCAGTTCCCCGGCGCTGTCTATGAACAAATCAATGCCATAGGGCTCCGCGCCTGGAAGCAAGTAAGTGGTGCCGGAACAGCCTCCTTGTGTCTTTCAAAAATAATTCAGGGTACCACAGAGCCATTTGTTGACTTTGTGGCCCGAATGCAAGATGCTGCCGATAAGATATTTTCTGATCCGGGAGTGGCTCGACCGCTGGTAAGGCAGCTGATTTTTGAGCAATGTACAAAGGAGTGCAAGGCAGCGATAGCTCCTCATAAGAACAAGGACCTCAACGCCTGGATTAGGATATGCAGAGAGATAGGGGGGCCGCTCTCCAACTCGGGAGTGGCTGCTCTCCTGGCCGCGGCTGTACAGCAGAGGGGACCTCGCGGGTTAGAAGGGGAATGTAAGGCTAAAGGGTGTTTTGCCTGCGGGGAGCCAGGACACATTAAACGTCACTGCCCAAACAATGCAGATGCTAGGCCTCGTCCTAGGAATGAAAAACCATATGTTTGTGGGCGATGCAAGAAGGGATCACACAAAGCTGAGGAGTGTAGGTCGGTCTTTGATGCTCAGGGCAACCGTATTTGTGGACAAGATGCTACAGAGCCAAAAAACGGCCAGAGGGGGCCCCCTTCACAGGCGGGCCCCCGCCCCAGAGACAGGACAGCTCAGGATGGCAGCCTTCAACAAGGGCCACCCCTGGGTCAGCAGGTGTGGACCTCAGTGTCGCCTCCAGACTTATATGGGTGTTCATCTTGTCATTTGTCACTCAGCACCCTATAATTTTTCCAAAGGTTACTGCCTCTGAGCCATTAGTCCCAGCAACTACAATATACACAGATGGCTCCAAAACGGGGATAGGCGCCTATGTGATCCTAGGCAAGCCCCCGGTTACCATACAATTTGAACCAGATCAGCCTCAGGTGGTGGAACTGCAGATCGTTAAAATGATTCTTGAACGGTTCTCAAAAGCCATTAACATTGTCTCCGATTCTAAGTATGTGGTCAATGCTATGCAAATGCTTGAGACTGCCGGTTTAATTAGATCCACTTCCACAGTGGCTGGGCTGTTCCTGTCTATCCAGACATTGCTTCAGAACAGACACCATAAGGTCTTCACCACCCACATAAGAGCACATACATCCCTGCCAGGGCCTATGGCACAGGGGAATGCGGCTGCTGACACTGCCACTCGCCCGTTATAGATTTTTACCTTACTAACACCAATCGAGCGAGCCCGTGCCTTCCATGATAAGTTTCATGTCAATGCCAGGACACTAACAAACCATTTCCATGTTTCTAGAGCAGATGCACGAGATATCGTGCGACTATGTGACTCCTGTGCCACATACAAACCTGCCATACCGATGGGAGTAAACCCTCGAGGTTTGATCCCTGGTGATGTTTGGCAGATGGACATCACACATATACAGGAGTTTGGGACTCTTAAATATGTTCATGTTTCCACAGACACCTGTTCTCACGTCATATTTGCAACAGCAGAAACAGGTAAAAAAGTGTCTAATGTGATCAATCATTGCCTGGCAGCTTGGGCCGCATGGGGCAAACCAAAAATATTAAAAACTGATAATGGACCAGCCTATATAGGCAAAGCCTTCAATGAGTTCTGCAAAATGATAGAGGTTCAATTAAAACATGGTATCCCATACAATCCCCAAGGTCAAGGAATCATTGAGAGGGCTCATAAAAGCCTCAAAGAAATTTTACAAAAACAAAAAGGGGGAGTAGGCCAAGGCCTGGCCCCAAAGGCACGATTATCCATGGCACTATTCACACACAATTTTTTAAATTTAAATAATGATAATTGCTCCCCAGCCGTGGAGCACTACAACCCTTCCCCCAACCATAAAGGGTGGGTGAAGTGGAAAGATGTCCTGACAGGACAATGGATGGGCCCGGATCCAGTGGTCAGCTGGAACCGAGGCGCGGTTTGTGTTTTCCCACAGGAACCGGGACGAGAACCACTGTGGATACCGGAGAGACTGACACGGGCAACAAAGCCCTCGACTGAAGATCAGACCTGACCTACCGGAGATCCATCACAGACCAACCAACAAGATAAATAGAAATAGCGGTAGCCCAAAATGGACAAGAAGATCCTCAGGCATATGCATGGCTTGCTCAATTGGCCCACGACCGAGTCTAGATATGGCGGGCATCCCTCATTCTCCTCCATAAGGTGACAATACACAGCAGGGTAGGTGAGTCAATGACGGGTAAGAGCGTGCCTCTCCAGCACGACTCGACCTAAGCCAGGCCCTACCCCATCCTGCACGTAAGCCGCTGGACTGTTAGATGCTGCCCAGGTCTAAATTTCTCTCCGAGGGGATTTCTTTACGGAGAGGAAATGAGTGCAAGCTTGTGTACATCCAGGTTCCGTCCAGTTTGTGCCTGGCCCTAGAAAAAGGACGAGGGCCTCAGGGCCTTGGCAGACCATGGCATGGCCAACCAGGGTCTAAGCCAAGGACCTACGGTGGGCCTACACATAGGGCATAAGCCTCTGCACCCAGTCCAGGAAGGGCTACGATGCGCACATTCATAAAAAATAAAATAGGGGGAGATGTTGGGAGCCGCGTCTGTGATAGCTCGCCTTGCGCGGCGGACGTGCAGCCTGTGGTAAAGAGCAAAGCCTGAGGTAGATTACCCCTCCCATCGAATATGTTAGTTTCCTGCTTACCGCGTAAACAACCCGCTCAACAATATAGTCTGCCTGGCAACTGATGATGTTAGCCAATCAGCTTGCCTTGCTTACTTTAACATGATTGGACACTGTACCCGTATATATACCGGTGCCACCCCTGGGCGGAAGTAGAAGCCAGGTAGAAGCCCGGAAGTAGAAGCCCAAAAGGAGCCGCGGAGAGCGGACCGGTAGAGGCTTTGGGGCAGACTGAAGCACAAAAGGAGCCGCGGGGAGCGGACCAGAGGAGGCTTCAGCTGGGAGAACCCAGGGCAGGCTGTACGGAGAAGGAAAATAAAAAGAAAAGGTTGTCCACTACCAGACTTTGTCGTGTGTCCTTCCTGCCGGCCGGGAGCGGACATCGACAGGAATTCATTGGTATTTTTTGTTTGTTTGTTTGTGCAGGGTCTTCTTATGTAATCCAGACTGTCCTTGAGCTATGTACATCAGATTGAACTCATGACAATCCTGCTTCAGCCTCCCAATTGCTGGAATTATAGGCATGTTCCACCAGCCCCAGTTATCATTGGTATTTTTAGAAACCATTCTTTTGAATTCTTTATCTGATATTTCATATGACTTAATACGCTGGAGTCATTTGCTATGGAATTGTGAACTTTTGGAGTCATAATTTGCCTTTTTATTTTGTTGTGTTTATGTGTTGTAATTAGCATAGTGTTGTTTGGAGATATCTTCTATCTTGATGTGAGGTTGTTTTTAGGAAACAGCTTGTTTTTGATGATGTGTTCTTAGATATTCAGTTATTGTGAATTGTTGAGTGTATTTCCAAGTGGATTTCATAGAATAGTTTCCCTTGTTGCTTATTTGGTGGTGATTAGTATATTCTGATGCAGGACACACTTTGTTGGAACCTGAGGATCCTGCTTTCTATGTATAAGTGTGAGTGAGGTCTTTCTCTTGGACCTGGAAATTATAGTTACTAGAGTATATATGCCATGCCCTCTGCAATTACTACTCTAATCTTGTCAATAATGTGCATTCCAAAAGGATGTAGGACTGATATTTGCTGACTCCTCTCATATGTGCAGTTTCTACAACCTTGTTTTTTCTGTCGCCATATTGTGTTGAGGTCCATGATCAGCTCTTCAGACACTTTCTCCACAACTTCATATCCACTTTGAATCTGGCCATTGGTTTGGGGGTTTTATTTCCCTATTCTCTGAGTTAAGTGTTTGCTGAAGTTTGAATGGGACTGGGTTGCACATAGAACCAAAGTGTGCTGCTTTTGAGCTGTGCTTAGAGAGTAGCTCAGGAGCAGCATGTTTATTCAAGGTACTTAAAACTGTTATGCTTGATCTCTAGAACCATATAGAAAGAGTGAAATGATTAGCAGTAACAACAACAAATAGCAGTGAACCAGATACAGCAAGGAAAAAATCCAAGTTCCAGTTGTGACATCCTAACAGCATCTATAGGAATGGTGTTATAGTCAGGGTTGTACAGAGATCAATAAGAATCAGGACATGGAGTTTATAATATTATTTTTTATAATGGTCACCAGGAATTAACACAAGAAAATGCAGGAAATCTATCCACAACACCAAAGACAAAGAATATTTAGCCAAGAGCCTGAATCCCACAACAATGTCCCACATGAGTCCAGATGAAGACCCAAAGATCATGACAGTGCCTTCCACGAGTCCTATTGGAGGTCCAGAACTCACAAGAAGGACTCATGCCAGTATCTTACGGATCCGTGCTGGGAAGGCCCAAAGGTCAGCAGTGGAAGCCAGAATGTCCATGCCAATGGAGTGAAGGAGCTGTGCTGGTGGGACGAGGGTTCTACTCAGGACCCAAGAAGTCACACTCATAACAAAGACCAGGGCTGACCTAAAAGGCATCACAGCCATCCTCAGTGACATGGAGGCTCTGAGCTCCTCGGACGATAAGCACAGCTGAGTACATGCAAGGAAGCCAGCATGATAAGTTTATCCTGGACACCAAGCAGCACATGTCTTCCCCTCCAGAGCCAGGAAGCAGTGCTTGATGTGAGGACCAGAGCTTCTCCAGGAAAGTCAATGGCTCAAACAGCAACATGTAGGAGAACCCACAATGCCTCCACACCTTAAGTCCTATCTTCTCCTTCTCCACATCTCTATTTATGCTGGCAGCTTTCCTCAGGTAGAACATCTACACTCAGCACCATGCTGATGTGATCGAGCTGACATTAAGTTGACAACCAGTTCTTAATCCATGATAAATGGTAAGGGCAGAAATAATATATTTTAAATAGCGATGAAATTGTTTCTAATTAAGAGAAGAAAGTGGCAGAAGGAAAGTAAAGCAAAAGAAATAAAGCCATTTTTTGTTGAGTCAGGGTCTTGTTATGTACTTCAGACTGGCCTTGAATTCACTACATAGCCAAGGCTGGCCTCAAACTTGTGGCAATCCTCCTGCTAGGACTATAGGAATGCACTACCACACCCAGCTAAGGAAATTTAGAATTTAGAATATTCAAAAAACTAAACAAGAAATCAGAAGAATGGTGGAAAGTGAAGGCCACCCAGGAGGCCAAGGCAAGGCATGAGTTCAAGGTCATTATGGAAAATCCTGAGACCCTGTCTCAAAACAAAATAAAACAATAAGCATCAGCTTGCTAGCTCAGTTGTGGCCTAGAATCAATCAGTCAATCAATCAATCAATCAATCAATCTCTCTTTCTCTATATCTCTCCCCTGAAAAAACAACAAAAATCAAAAATTTTAAATAACAAATAAATACAATGAAAGTAAAAGAATATTGATTTAACTATTAGAAGAAAACAGTAAAAGTACTAAAGGCATGAAAGTATAAAAAGAAAATTTAATATGTATGTGAACTAATCAGCAAATTAATGAAAATGAAATAATCATCTGCTCTGAGGTGGTTAAACGTGTACAAGAGTGGATATTCACTACCTTTGCCAGTCTCTACTGCTTTTCACACCTTAGACTGTGCATGCCTCAAGGAAAGCAAAGCTGAAGGTTTTTTACACCTTTCTTTTGTACTGTTCACTTTTGTACTGGAGGTGTTTGGGGCTGGAGCTGACTGGAGAGACTCTTGGCTTCATTTTTCACCAAATTCAGGTTCCACAGAACAGGTCGTTCTATGGGCAGGAGTTTGCTTTGAACAGATTAGTTCAGTGAACAACAAAGGACAGGCTGATGCCAAGCTATGTTATATGTTTGGGCTTCTAGTTCCCTTTGAGTAGCCAACTCAGAGGGCAAGACAACCAATTGCTCTAGCTAGAGGAGCACAGCAGGACCCATGCAGTCTATCACCTAAGCAAGGACTTTCCATGGCCCAGGAAAGTCCTAGCTTAGGTGATAGACTGCATGCAGTCACATTTGTTTAGCTTCCTGGTCCTTTTCAGCTGCTGCTTATCAGTCTTAAAGGGCTAGAAAGCTCCACTTCCATTTATTATTCTGACCCCAATCTGTACTATATATAGATATATAGATAAAGATATATATTCCTTAGTGGGCCTGCTTTAGTACCAATTCACTGGAACCACACTAAGCCACAAGGTAGTGGCTAGCCGTAAGAGTACAGCAATATTGCTGTGATTACCATGGGAAAGGAAAATTTAAGGGTGTTTGCTTCCCAAAGCAGCAAGCTTGCACTTGACCTTCACAAGATAAGTTTCCTGCTTAGTTCTCTGAACCTGTAATAACTTCCACTATTTCAGCACTAGATGGCACCCTAAATCCAGGTTTGCCTTGAGTCCATTGTTAATAGGTTGTCACTCCTTTAGCACTAGGGGCAATCCTAGCCCAAGTTTGTTCCAAGTCTGCAACTAGTATGTTGTTTCCACATGAACTAGGGGAGGGCCTAATAAGGGTAGTGCTTTCCTGCAAGCCTTTCTCTGGGGCTGGGGTATGCCCAAATGCCTCACACAGTTACTGGCCTAGAGTCAAGTCCTGGGATTTTGCTCAGCTCAGGTCAGAATCAGCCTGGAGAGACTAGCCCCAGGCTCCAGGACCATGCCTGTGGTCACCAATACTGAAGGCTGTGTCACAGCCTGAACTTACAGTCCACCAAGGCCAGCACAATACCAGAGAGGGACCAAGACCCACACTGCTATGAGCTGGGTGCTAGTCTCAAGGTAGACTCTGGGACCTTGTCCTTGTCCTATCCTTGACCTGCCTAGCCCAGTTTTAGGAAGAATTCTGCTAAGTCAGTTTAGCAAGTATCCCTCTCACTCTTGACATTTGATCAAATTTCTCATCCCTCACCTTTGTAGTACAATTTTTTGGCCTATCTTTACCAATTAGGTCAGCTTAGCAAGAATTTCTCTATGTTTTATCTCTCCTTTTAGAAATTTCCATCTAATAACCCCTCACGCTGTCTTTTGCTTATAAATCCTCAGATGTCTTTGCAGTACCGCATTACCCCTACTACCATAGTCTTGACCAAAGTCTTTCTTACCATGTTCACAAGTATCAGGATAGCTTTGTTTTAAACAGTCTTAAATCTTATAGAGGAGGAAAAGTAGATATTTCTATATCCATTCTAGATTTATGACTATATATGAGAAGCCTATATATGAGAAGATAGACTTACAAAACAAAATCATACAAGAAATAGAGACCCGACAGGTCTGCAGAGGAGGAGCTGGGCAGATCTGGGGTGCCCTCACTGGCCTCTCTGCGTGTCTGGAGGACTCTGGATTTCTGCGCCCAGACTGCTGGAGTTCCCTCAGGCTTCCAGGTGCAGTGAAGGAGAGAGGTGGGTTTAAGGCTTCCACATCAGCCTCCCCATTCCCGGCTTCATTTGGAGACCTGCTGAGCTCCCGATAGGTGGGCTGGCCCACACTACCAGCCTAGCCCAGCCTGTTTAGCTGCCGCGCCTGGCCACAGGTCTGCAGAGGAGGAGCTGGGCAGATCTGGGGTGCCCTCACTGGCCTCTCTGCGTGTCTGGAGGACTGTGGATATCTCTGCAACCAGGGAGGGTCCACAGGTTCCTGAAGCACTGCGGCCTGTGGTGAGTACCCTAACCCGGCTGCGATTGAAGAACTGTGGAGCTTCCAAGGGGCAGGTGGGCGCACAGTGTCCCTGAGGCCCAGCTTGTCTGGAACTGCGGAGTTCTGAGCAGGCAGAGGAGGGCCACTGGTTCTGTAGGCCTAATGGCTTGGAGTAGCGCGGCGCCAGAGTCCCAGTAGCTCCAAACATAGAAGGGGATTTTGAACAGATCCTGAGGAAGCTTTCAAGTAACACTTGAAACACAGAAATATAGGAAAATGACAAAACGAAAGACCAAATTACAACCTCAAACCTCCAGCCCATCTCAAGAAACCCTAGGAGCGATG